ACCACTCCCAACTCTATCCAGCACTTGGTGTTGCACTATCCTATGGACATTGTACACTTAATGTTTGCTGATGATTTAGAAAATAAATTCCTATTATGCCACTGTTATGGTACAGTCCTCCAATAAGACGACACTTTCAGAATGTCACAACTTTATCAGGTAGAGAAATTTAGCAAAGTCAAAAAAGAATTAGGGGAAAAAGTCTAAGAAAAACAAATGTCAGCAGAGTATGCTAATGGAAAAATCAACATAAATTTCATAATTTACAATGTCTGGAGAAAAATTAATGTGCAGAGACTTAAGAAAAATGCTACATCATGGACAACTCACAAGGTCTTAAAGGAGAACCTATTTTGCATTTATATTTGAATTTCAATAGAACTGCTTTGAATTGCTACTTTGATAAGTGAAAACAGATTCTTTTATGACTTAAGTTATAAAAGCTTGTAGTTTATCAGTTCCCTCTCCACCCTGCAATTACCTTCAGGAAGAGATTGGCCACAGATTCTATTTTATGAGTTTTATAGGGGTACATTCATCCCAATTTACATACTATGAATTCCTGGAAAATACTATAGATTGGAAAAAATAAAGTATTTCCTTTGGATCAAAGACATTTCACTTGAAATCACGTACTTATCCATAAACAAGCTGCCCCAAGTATTATGTTAAAATGTAAAAGACATATTTTACATAAACATATGTATAAAGTCTATTAAGCTAATGTGCAATAATGCAATATGTAGCAATCTTGTGAAACTAGGGCTAAACAATGATAACAACCTAACAAGAAAAGCAGTTCAAAATGTTGTAGAATGAATATCATATAATCCATAATCATATAATTCAAAAGAGTCTTGGAATAAAATTTCATTTATATCAGGACATTTATGAATAAGTTTAGTGTTAAAGGTAAGCAACATACAAACATCTCAAATAAATTTTCAGAGTAATAAAATACTCTAAAACACAGCAAAGTTTACCAATAATGAAAACTACGAGACAAAAACTTATTATCAAGCCCTAAGAATACTAAGAAGGAGTATAACTGCAGAATGAATGAATGAATTATTGACTTGTTAAAGTGGTCTTAAAACAATGAAGAATAATGAATCAACATTTAAATTTCCAATCACGCTAAGATATTTTAATTCTTAGTAATTTATACAAAATTTAGGTGAATGGCAAAAGTGTTCCAAGCCTGATATTATCCTGATAGGACAGCCTGGAGTTTCTTTCAACCTGTTGTGGTGGATGTGTAGACTTCTATGAAAATGTAAGCTGAATTTTATAAACTGCCAAAAAATCCATTTGTTAAAGGAAAATTTGTTCTCATTAGTGGGGGTTGTGGGATCACTGAATAAAATAAGAAAAAGAAATAGTATTATTATTACAGGTCTGGAATGTAGGAGCTTTACAAAAATCAATGATCGATTACAATAGGTCAGACTGATGTTGTTTGAATTTTACCATATCAGTTTTCATTGGAAGAGATTAAAAAACAATTCTCCTTAAATCACTAAAAATTCTTTATATATACAGCATGGATTACTATGTTTTAATTCCACTAGAAAATATGAAAAACTATGGGAACTGCTGTGCATATGACTGTACATTAAAGGGCAGGTATGTTTTAACTATGTTCCTCATGCAATAACCTAAAATAACAAAAGATCAAACGTGGGTGGAAGACTTCCTTATGCTAGTTGCTATTTCTTTTTGGTTTGCAAATAAGTCCTTCATTTAAAGTAACTATGGGACTCAAGCCTATGCTGATTTAACTATTAACTAACTTTTACACCTGCCTTTCAGGGTTCAGACAGTGACCTCTGATTAATCTGAGTCTGATATCATCCTTAACTTGCTGTAGACTATAAGCAGGTGCAGCAACTAGCTCTTAAAGTGGCATGATCTAATTATTTTCATGTAATCTAATATTATGATTATCTAATTTCTTATTTGCTTTTCCTATAATGGTAATATGTTTGAATGAATACCATTCATGACAAAAGTCAGTGAAAAGAAAGCTACATGTTTATACATCAAATCTGAGCTAGGACTTGAGGTATAAAGAAAATACAAGAAAATCTATAATACACAAGCAGGTGAAACAGGCTACTTGTACAAAGGAGTAACTATCAGGCTGAGATCCAACGTCTCTCCTAAAATACTAAATGTCAAAAGATGATCAATTTCCACAATGTTTTGAAGGAAAAAACTTACATTCAAATAATTAAAAACTCTGGCAAGCTGTCTTATGCAAAGACAACTAAGAGATATTTTAAAATATGTATACTCAGGTAATACATCTCTCAATTCTACTTCTTGAAAAAATAACTTGAAAATGCACTTAAATATGAACAAAATTAAAAGCTCCTAATGCCAAAGAAAAAAAGGAAGTAGTGATGATAGCCAGTTAAGAAGAAAGGTTTGACTCTTTTTGATGGAGGGTCATGCCATGTGGGGAAATACTCCGTTTTACTTTCTATCAAAGGCATCTCGTATACAGATATGGTATTAATTACATCAAAAAAATCCAAACAAAAATTAAAATTCAAGGAATAAATGAAAAAGGGAAACAAGTAAATTAAAAAGAAAGTGAAAAAGAACACAGAATCGAGGGCCAAAGTGGTTTTGTTCTCAGGCTAACCTATATTCACTTAAAGGACACTGCATCACATTACAGTGCTATAGGATCAAACTATCCTCTGTAACCAAGTATTTACAGAAAAGCTCACTCCAACTTGGAACATTAAGAAACACATCCTTCCCTGTCAGAGAGGCTTGAGAAAGTCTTGTTTCCCTCCCCTGCTGATGAGCTGTAACTAGCATCTCGTACTCTCCCAGACCCAATCATGGGAGTAGTTGGAGCAGGAGGACATTTAGAGAGGTGGGCTAGAAACTGGTGGTTAAGGTATGAGGACGAGAGTCATTCAGGGCCCAGCCTCCACCATTCTGAGATCCTGGCCCACTCCTTGCTATTTTTTTTCCCCCTCAGGCCCAAGGAATCTCTCTCCTCTTCAGCCAGTATAGTACAAAGTTTGAACTTAAAAATATCCCACTTTGTTATACTTTTAGACAGACTTTTTCCTATTTCTTTTATCTCTAAATTTAATTTTCTTTTCTTGGATGCTTTTAGGGAACCTAAGGGTGCACTGACACAAAGGGTGAAAATTAGGTAAAATTGTATTTCTGTAAAAATCAGTCTTTACCTATCCTGGGGCCCAGAGGAGAGTGGGTAATGAACAGACTTGTGACTCTACTTAGAGGTTATGGAGAAAGGGTCAAGGTTAATTGTCAGCAAGCTGGGGGACTTTGGGGGAGAGGAGAGGATAGCAGAATATGCTTAGTTTACAGTAAAGAGACAGAAGAAGAAGAGTCAGAAGAAAAAGACATCAAAAAGGAAGACTGTCCCAAGTCAAAACCTGGGGAACTAATAATGAGTGTTTGAAGAGTGCCTGTTTAAACCAAGTATTTTAAAACGTATCGACTACACAGAGTAGAGATATTATTATATTAGGAGCCATTATTTAATAATCCAACTGGGAAAACATAACCAAAGACCAACAATACTTAAACCATTATTCATTAGATTTTGTTTCTAATTCACTGGAGTCATTTTGAGATTAGGGCACTAGAGTAAACCTTAATAACATTATTTCTCATGAGTCCATGAACATTTAGTTCTATTATTTTATTATTTAATTAACATGGGAATCTGCCATCAGCCTACCAGGAGAAACAAAAAAACCCTGCCAGGTTGCACTTTTCTGAGTTCCAAAATGTACAAAAAACACCAGAAATCTAAACACAGGTGCTGCAGGAAAGCCTATAGGAATATATTTCAAAAGTACATAAAATAATCAAATGAGTATATTGTTCAAATACATTAAAATAATTTATTTTCCACAATTGCTAACCTTCAATTTTTAATATTAACTAATACAATTCACAAAATGTTATGGCTACTCTTTTAGCATACTTACTAAAGTATAACCAGAACACATATACTATACCCATGGACTTTTTTATGATTATGCTGATGAATAATTCTTCAAACACTAGTCTTTTCCAGAGCCCCACATATTAAGTTACCAAACATGCTGAATCAATATATGGATTTATTACAAATAGAAAATGGAATCAATCTGTCCATGGGGAAAATATTAATTATCAATAAAATTCAAATATGGTTTAATACTGTTTTAATTTTCTTTAAAAAGGCATTATCAAATCTTTATCACAATAGGAAATGTTGAATTATATGGAGTGCTTGAAAGATTTACTGTATAGAAAGGATAAGTAATAAGAACATGTTTAGTGAACAGTAAGATACACGCTAGTCTGTATCATCATATGACTTCTGCAAGTGGGAACCAGCAACTGATGTATATTTCATACATACACATATTATATACAGAGATTAAAGGGAAATCTGCCTTCTATATTATCTATAATTGTTTTTAATTTAGCAAATAGATACCGTAATTATTAAATGCCTTTCTTGTCTGGTAGTAATAGAAGAGGGATAAAAGATTAAATTTCACTTCTATAATAATAATAAAGCATAGTAATCTACAAGAGAAAAGAAGCATTAATGGCCCATTTTCATGATTACAAAACATTCACTCTAAAAAAATGATGCTAGTGCACAAAATAGCACTCCTTTTTAAAAGGGTATAAATCAATTTGCATAGAAATTTACAGTACTTTATCAAAAGTATAAAGTATTTTTAAGTTAAAAAAATTCTATTTATTACATTAATATATACAAGTACCTGTAAAAACAATACAGTATCTTACTTTTCTACATATTAACAAAGATTGGCAAGTTTTCTTCATTAATTAGAAAACATAAGGTTAATCTTTTAAAAAGGCATATAACTTTTGGCAAAAGGGAGATTATAAGAGTTTTCTACAATGGCATTTTGTGTCACTATAACCGGTATCATTTTGCAGCTTCTTAGCAGTTTTAACAATACAGGAACGGACTGCCTTACCGTTGGTGCTGTGTCTACATGATGGTTACAAGGCTTTCTTTCTATGCTGATAATCTCTGTGAAAAGAAAAGATTGTGAATATTTGCTTATTATACTTGTCTATTTTATTTGAAAGCATTTATGTCAGTAAGACATGACTCCTACAGCTTACAAGAAAAAAGTCTCACTTGGGCAGGATCCTTTAAAGTGTTATCATGATTTCTTTGGTCAGAAACAGTTGGACAGGTTAACTAGGAGACCTGACTCAAGGTGACCTGAGCCAGTTTTCCCATTCAAGTGGCATCCAGCAACAGCATAAGATGTGTCCTTATCTTGCTCTCAGCGCAAACTGTACCGTTATCTCTGCTCTGCTGCATTTCTTCCATGGAAGTTTTTACTTCTGACTTGAGGTCATCAAGTTTTCATAAAGAAATATAATATCACAAAGTCTATGAAAAGAATCGCTTCCTTATTTTCTCAAAAAAAAGTCTATTTGATTTTCTCTTTGATAATCCGACTTCCTACTATGACATAGTCTGCTATTTATTCAATTACCATAGAGCTCCTAAAGAAAAAAGTTCCCCTAATTCTCTCCCTTACAATGACAATATAGACTGCTGAACCTGAGAAAAATCTTTTTATCATGTATGGATTTATCTTTTTGTTCCCAATATCCTCTACCACATTTCTTTATAATAAACAGCTTCTATGGATGTAATGCACTGTGTCTCATCTATAAAGATACCGGTTCAAAGTCTAGATCCAGTTTAAAGTGAACACAGGTGTGGATCTCATTTATTTTTCAATCTCTCTCAATCAGCAAACTAACATATGAGTTACGCTATTAGAATGGTTTGTTCAAATAATGCTAAAGGCTGTCACATGTTGGGCTGGTTAGAAGTGAGAACTATAATGTACTGTTAATAGCAAACAGCACAATTTCTAGTTGAAACAAAACAGTAGTTCTCATTTACAGGTATTTAACTCATTCTTCTTAAAGTATAATAAGGAATTAAGTAAGATTAACACAAAACAATAGTTTTTTTTAAAATCACTTTGCAAGAGTGTTCTCAAAATGAACAAAGTACCATGAAACATGATTTTTAAAAAACTGTATTTGTTTCACTTAAAAAATACTCTCAACCTCTACTGTTAGCCAGTGAAGTATAAAGCATTATACTCCCTTTATTCAATCAACTGTTATAAGTGGTTATTTGTCACTCAGTGATAAAAGATAAATTATAAAGGATAGATTATAAAAGATAAATAATGAATAATGATTTCTGACCTTAAAAGTCTAGTAAAACAGATGTTCTTTTGTGAAGAAATACTACACAGCAAATTAACAGTTCTGTCTTAAGTGTAATAACAAAGTCTTCAATTTTGATGGAAAGACATTTCTATTCATAGATAACATTGGTTGAATAAAAAATGTTTTAAAAACCCAAGTAATACATATTTGAAAATACTCAAATAATGCTGATTCCTATTGTAAGATTTTAATAATACTGAAGTATATAGAATAAATGGTAAAATTCCCACTTCCCAAGCCCCCACATTCCCACAACCCTCTCTAGCTGCAACCACTAAGAACAGTCCAAAATGACACCCTAGCTTTTAAACGAGAGTGGTCATAACACAGGGTTCAGGAATTAGCAATATCTTACATGTGTGTTCTCACTACTATACTCTCACTGCAATAAAATTGACCTAGGCTGATAGCTGATTTTTTAAATTCTTATCCAATTGGAAAGCAATTTCAAAATGATGTAAATAAAAAACTTTAAAAAAAAAACCCTAAAATCTACATCCTTAGCTTATAAAAGAACAAAGAAAAAAATTATATATTTTACAGTTTCAAATTCAGGATGAGAATGTGTTGAAAATCAGAATCTTAAAATGGATTATAAGATATATGCTTATTTTAAATTTAGATTGCCTACTGAAATAATATCATTTGGAAATACAATCATACATATTTGTTCAAGTTTTCAACAATTCCTTTCAATACAGAAAGGAATAAGCTTAAAGAAAAACATCCCCAAATAGCTTCCTATTCTAAGTAAATTTTACCTAAAAAAAACTACACTTATATTATATTTCACTTTTATCTGGTAAAACATTCCAGATGTTCCTGTGAAAGTATTTTTGGGTAGGATTAACACTTAAGGTAGTAGACTTTGAGTAAAGTAGATTGCCCTCCATAATGTGACTGGGTTTCATTCAATCCATCGAAAACCATAAGAAACAGACTGACCTTCCCTGAAGGAGGGAATTTTGCCAATAGAGTGTTTTCACCAGGGTATGTCTAAGTGTGTCTTTGTTCTAATTAATCTTTCTTGGGAGTTGATATGCCCTTTAATCTGCAGAGTCTTATTTTCTGCTCAGGGAAATTTTATTCTGCTATCTGTTTAATGCTGGAGCTCATTTTATTTTTATTGTCATAATTTTTGTTGTTTGATAATTGTTCCACTTAATCTTCTAGGTGAGCATCCTCTTTTTCACTTTGTCTAATGATTTTAAAATTTCAAATCATGCTTACTTCCTTTCCAGAGGCCTACAAAGATTAAGGAGAGAGGGATGGCAAACTCTGGACAGTATCTCAGAAGATGAAGTTTTTTCCCTGGAATCTCAGTGCCAGGGTGTCAGGTAAAGGGCAGCAGTGAGAGGGCTGTGCTCTCTTTGGTGCTGAGCAAGGACCTGTGTGCTCTTAGCCAGCTGAAGCTATAAATCCTCTGGGTTGCTGGCTATTACCTGTCAGTATGATGTCTGTAGTACATCAAGGGGCTGGCAGATCCCAGGGACCTTCAGAGGGACTGATAACGCAAAGGGGCCTATCCACCTGGAGAAGTCTGCTTCCAGGACCAGTCACTGGGAGATGGTTGTAACCTGCTACTGATGAGGCCTGATAGGAAAAGCTTACTCCTGTCCCTCAGCAGAAGGCTAACAGCTGGACAGGTTTGTTTTTGCTCTTTTGCTACAGCTCACCTCTAGCGGTAGAGCTGGGACCACAACCATGGGGATGCAAAGAAAACGAACAACTCCTACAAGGAGTTTCAGTAACCCGAAGACAAGCAAATAACCTTATACAACTGATATTGTAGCAGTAGTGCCACTGATAACAATGGAAAAGTTAGAGAATCTCTTAAATTAAAGTAAAACTAACAAAACTCAACAACTAAGAATTTTAAGATGGTTAATTAACAAACAACAAAGATAATCTGATTTTAAAGGGAGGAAACAGCAGCTTTCAGAGAGTAAATAAGAAGACAGGTCAACCAACCAAGGAGCAGCAGTTCCCTCGCTGAAACCCACGCGTCTAAGCCACAAACCCTCCAGGCCCATTTGTGTGACTGTTTAGCCCCTGTGACCAGGATCTGATTTAATTCACCTTTTATTCACACCGCCTGGCCCAAATGTGTGAAACACAGAAGGTTCTCAAGAGTTGACTCAAATATTAACTGAATGAATTAATCTACACGCTATCCACAGGGTTTATATGCTACAGCACAGTGATAACTGTGTGCATTAGTCATCAGAATGTCTGAGGTAATGTTCCAGGACTGCTTTTAAAAAAAAATGTTAATTAGCTACTTCCTTTGGTAATGTTTCCAAACCTACTGTAAAACTGAAATGTATTTATTTTAAAAATTTCCTAATTTTCCAGACATTACTACACTCTAGAGAAAATAATGAAGAAATTTTATGCTTCTTGGGAGATGCTTTAGGTATTTTATTTTAAGGAAAATCAGAACATGGAATTTTTACCCTACTTGTACCTGACTGATTTGAACAGCAGAATTATATATTTTTTAGTTTCCCTAAACTCCACCAATCTTCAAGTTGGGACCATGATCAAAGGAAAGAAAGAAAAAAGATGATCAGATTTACTGCAAAAAGAAAGCAGGCAGGAATATGTGCCAAATTCTGAAGTCAGAACACATATCTTGCAATCTCACGTATCTTCACCAAATAATTATGGGCTACCCACCAAGCACAAGGCATTGTGCTAACGACAGGAGAACCTCGATCTGACCTTCTATGAAATTTTCTAAAGAGTTGTTCCAGGCAACATTATTATTATGCAACTGAGTTTTAAACATTGCCATTAATCCCTAAAAGGGCAGAGGGAAAACTGTGTTTTATCTATGGCTAGGAGAAAATGAAATACAATTTATTATATTTCAGTAAAATATAGAGTTTTAGAAGGCAAATATCATTCTTGCCAAATTTAATATAAAGATGTCTGTACAAAAACTGCAAGCCCTTCTTAAAAACTGAAAAAGAAGTAAAACTGTTACTCAGATAATATTCATACCTAGAAAGTCCAAAAGAATCAATGCTAAATTAACACAACTAATAACAGGACTAATGAATCAGAAAGCATAATATAAAATTTAATATATAAACATCAATAGCCTTTACATATTCAAATAACCAGTTAGAAGATATAATGAAAAAGAATACCTCATTTATAAGAGCATTATAAAAGAGAAAATATTTGAATACAAAAAATTCACAGAACAGTATGAAGAAAATGTTAAAATTCTTCTGAAAGACATAAAAGTTGTCTTGAACAAATTGGAAGATTTGCCTTGTTTTAAGACAATGTAACATCATATAAATGCCAATTCTCTCCAAGATAATGTGAAGATTTACTGCACATTTATGAATTTAATGTGATCCTCTCCCCAAAAAGTTTTTTCCCTAGCACTACACAAGTTGATTCTAAAATTCATATAGAAGAATATGCAAGAATAGCTAGAAAAATTCTGGGGAAAAAAAAAGCAATGATTGAAAATAAACACTTCTAAGTATCAGTATATATTATTGTAAAAGGCCACTGTAATTAAAGTAATGTGGTAATGACACATGAGTAGACCAGTAGAATGTATTAAAATGCTCAGAGAACGACCTAGGACTAAATATAGCAACACCAACTGTGGAACAACCTAACATTATATGCTACCGGATGTGATGCAAAAAAAGCACATATCACTTACAGTATTCTTGACAAAAATGTCTGCCTGGATCTAATCACGATGAAATAAAAATGTTGGATATTCTACAGGACAAC